CCCCCGTCCGGCACCGTGCAACTAGCAACAAGGAGGCGATAGAATGCATCGTGAAGAGTTAGATGACAGTTATTCAAAATTGATATATCGATCTTATGATCACAAGACTAAATGTCCTTTGAATTATGAATTACTTAGGAAGTAATGTGAGAGGTTTGTTAATGGGCTTCAAGTTAAAAAACAAATTTGACTTCGAGTTTCGAATTAACCGATTGGTACATTAATCTCGCCGTTGTACATTTACAACTTCATGAATAACTTTGCTTGCTTTCATTTTCACTATTATCTATTGCTATTTTAATTTAGTCAGATTCCTTGTTCTTTTAACTACGTCAAAAATAAGTTTATCTTCTGTCACCTCGCTCAGACGCCAATCTTTCAAAGTTTTTCTAACCATATTTTCTGGCACAAACCTCCCATCGTTGACATTTATACGAAGAAGTTCCTTGCTGTAAGCGGCATCAGGTGCCGCCACAGAATATGATACGTTAGACACTCATCGACCTCCACTGTTTAACACATAATTTGTTACAGGGATGGCAAGAGGTGAACTTCATTAACCCGGCGAACGTCGTATTCGTGTTCATGCTCGTCAAGGAGGCGATCAACGAGTCGATAGAGAACGAACAGGAGCTGAGGACCATCGTTCTAACGTGTTTGTACTTGTCTTATTCGTACATGGGCAACGAGATCAGCTATCCACTGAAGCCGTTCATCCTGGACGCGGATCGAGAGCAGTTCTGGGACCGATGCCTTAACCTCATCAACAAGCACAGCGATCGGATGTTGAGGATCAACAGCTGTCCTGCATACTTCACCGAACTCTTCAATCAGTTGAAAGCGTATTCCTACGAATGTTGATCACCCGTTGGTCAGTCTACTGACCAACCGAACGAATCACGCACCGCCAACCGCCCACTGCTGCTGCGCCAAGCTTACACCTTGACAACGATTGCGCCTCGATTCGTCCTCAACGGAAACGTGGTGGCCGTAAACATAACGTCTAGCCGCTGGCTGGTTTGCCTTTAATCTACAGAATGCCATTGTATGATTTTGCCATATTAATGCTGATTATAATAAATATGTTCTGTCCTCATTGACGACGTTATATGCTTTGTTCTCGTCAGACAGTGATTGGAGGTTATCTGCTTGCAAACTGCTCAGTATGGTCAGATCAAATGCCTAAGACTTCAGTAACCTACAATGTCTACGGTTATTATAAGAATGAAAAAACCTATCCTCATGCGTGATAAAATTTTTATCCTCATTTTGCTTTCATGTTGCAGTACATTGATTAAAAAATCTATTGCGACAGCACGCCATGTGGGAGAAGACCACCTACGAGGTTATGAGTAAATTATTGTAGAATTATAATGCTCTCAATTTCAGCTCTATGCCAAGAGGTTTCCATGATTATCCCGCGGAAAAAGATTTTAAAATGTTTTTTTAAACTAAATCTGACAGGATTCCGAACGAGATACTCATACATCCCCACTTATACTTCGACCAAGAGAACATTGTGCAACATGGAGGTAGATCTGCCTTCGAAAAAAAATATTCCATTTTTAATGCACTAACCGGTGCCAAATAGCAAAAGTATTGAAAAGCTGCGGATACATCGAATATTACAAACCAGAACCGTTCTGCTCATAAATAAAGCCCCAGTGTGATGATTGTGATTATCCTCACAAAAGTCAGTTCACCCTTCACCTTCTTCATCTACATGTTCCATGGCCGCTTCTCCTTTCGGATCGCGCAGGCACACGGCCCCCTCCAGATAGTGCTTCCAAGGTTCCCGATTCTGTGCCAGAGTCTGAGCTTCGGCAAAAGACAAAGGGAGTCTGGAACAGACTCCTTCCATATGTTTGCACCAGGTTAATCTTGGCCGTCCCCTGGGCCTTTTGCAGGTTGGATTTGCAAGGAACAGTTGCTTAGCTTTCGTTTCTGGACGCATTCGCAACACATGCCCAAGCCATCGCAGCTGTGACTTCTCAATCAGGAGAAGTTAAACACCATGTCGAGACGCGTAAGGCCAGCGACTCGTCTAAGAAAGCCCATTTCAGCAGCTTTTACCCGGGTT